ATATATATATATATATATATATATGAATGATTCTGTGCTTTTTGGTTTCAGATATCCACTGTAGGTATAAAGGGGGACTACTATATATTTAACTAAGGCCTTGTAACAGTCCTGTAAGGTTGGTACTGTACTGTTATTGCTTTTTTGATGAAGAAACTGGGTACAGAGAGGTTTAGTAACTTGCTTAAGGTTACACACCTCATAAGTCAGGATCAAACATGCATATCTGATCTTGGAGGATATGTTCTTTATCATTGTATTGTTCTGGAGTTGATGAGATTGCTTAATGAACATGCTTAAGAAAAGATGAGGGGGCTGGGGATGTGGCTCAAGCGGTAGCGCCATCGTCTGGCATGTGTGCGGCCCAGGTTCGATCCTCAGCACCACATACAAACAAAGATGTTGTGTCCGCTGAAAACTAAAAAATAAATATTAAAAATTCTCTCCCCCCCTCTCTTTCTCTCTAAAAAATAAAAAAAAAAAAGAAAAGATGAGGATAGAGTTTGGTGATTTTGATTTTTTTTTCCTCCGGGAATTGTCCATATCCTTTTCGAATTAAAAAGAAATATTTTCCTTTTTTCTGTTGAATAAGTGCCCCAAAGTGCTAGATAGATTTTACTAACATATTATAAGTGATCACTGACTTAAAGCAGTTTGTTTTACATACTTTGTTTTAAAATTTAGGGATATCTTCTTTTTTTTTTTCTTAAGTAACAGAAATCGAACTTAAAAATCTTTTAAAGCTTAACTAACTCATTTATGACAATTTCTTCATAGAGCTCAAGTTAGTTTTAGGACAGTGTTGGAACTGTTTTACTGCCCTTTCTTCAGTCTTGAGTATTATTCTTTTCTTTTTATTTTCATTTCATTTTAGATGGACTTGGATTTACCATGTTTTCTTTTCACCTCTTTTCCAATCAGGCGAAGAATGCTAAAGTATATTATTCTTCATTGACTAGTATTTTCTAAAACTGTGAGTTTGCCTATTAATAATTCAGCAGTTGTAATAGTAGTTTATAGTATGCCTTTTACAGTCAAAGCTTTAATGTAAATGTACAGTTCTTAGAATTTAAATATAAATATTTAATGAAATTTATCAAAACTAAACCTCATGAAAATAGGCATACATTCAGTTAGAGTAAACAAATTCCATTGTGGTTAGCATTTCTGCTGTGTACTTTGGGATAAAAACTGAGTAGAACTATTTTCTTCCTCTCTTCTCCCCTCACCTCTTTGCTTTCTGCCGCAAACCTTTATAGGTTCTCTATTGTGTGCCAGAGTATTCCTGTTTGGGGAGATAAAGATGAATGAGAATAGAGCCTGCCCTAGTTTACTTATACCTTTGGAGGGCAGACCAGTTCCTGAGTCAAACAGTTCAGAAAAATATAATAAATGTTGAAGCCAGCTTTACACGGAGCCCTGCCTAGATCAGTGCTACCCTCTCCTCTCATCCTTTAAGGATGAATAGAATGTAAGTCATCTGGAAGGAGGAGCAGAAGTTAAAGCAGATGGGGAAATATAAGTAACAGGAGGAAAGAGCTCTTTGGTGATACTGAGAGAATGATTGCCGGGGTAAAGGATTGACAGCTGTGTTAGTTATCATGGAGTTGAAGATTGAGTGAATGAGAAATGAGAAAGTAGACATCCAAGAAATTTGATGTGGTGAAGGGAAGTAGAGAGGATTAAAGATTGAGTGAAGTAAAATCAAGTAGCTTTTTTTTTTTTTTCCTAGAATAGGGAGCAAATATGTTTGTTTCCTGTTAGAAATGAGCTGGAGAACTGTCTAGGTAAGATTGAAAGACAGAAGATAATAGAACAAAATCCTTTAGGAAATTATATAATATCAAGTACATAAATGAAAGTATGTTTTTTAAAAGACTACCTTAACTGTTGAATTGCTTAATAAAATAGATCATTAAGCATATTTATGCTAGATCATTTAAAGATAGTTATATGTTAAATTAAAGCAACTCTATTGCCCTGTCATGGGGTATTTCTTTATGAAAATATTAGAAAATCCTCTTTTATTCATATCTTTTCCACTGTTCCTCCAATCAAAAGCAAATAGCCTTCATTGATAAGAGCAGAAAATATCTATTTTAAGGGTTAGTTTTAGTTGTATCATATGGCTTAGGTTAGCAATGGGGATGAATGAGGTGCTATTTGCATCATAAACAGGAAATTTTTGGTTTTTATAAAATGGTTTCTGGAAATTCCAGGATTCTCATTCAGTAGATCTGGGTTGGAATCTAGAGCCAATGAAATAATTTATCTGCCAAATACTTACTGAGTACCTTCTATCATATTGTGATTTTGATTTATGTAGGTAGTATTAAAAGATGTCCCAGCTACCTACTGTTTATTTCAAGGACAGAGATAATAAGCAAGTCAATAAATAAAAATAATAATTTCATATATTGATAAGTGCTGTGACAAAGGTAAACTGTGGTATATGCTAGAGAGTTATCCTGGCAGAGGAAGGAAGTAACTTTGTGTGGGGTGATCTTGGAAGGAGTCTTTGAAGAGGTCATTCTTTTTTAACATTGCCTTTTCAAAATAATTATTTTTTTAATGTGTGGTAAGATATATTATATATAATTTCCCATCTAAATAATTTTGAAGTGTATGATTCCCTGTCATTTGGTAAATCATACCATTATGCATTTTGGTAAATCATACCATCCCTATCATCTTCAGAACTTTCTTTACCTTGCAATACTGAAACACTCGCTATTCATTAAATAATAAATCTCTCTCACCTCCCAGCCCCAGCAACCAACATTCTTTCTGTTTCTGTGAAGTTGACTATTCTTGGTACCTCTTATAGGTAGAATCATACAGTGTCTTTGTTTCTGGCTTATTTTACTTAATATAATGTCTTCAAGGTTAATCACACTGCAGCATGTGTCAGGATTTCCTTCCGTGGAATAATATTCCATTGTATGGATTGACCACATTTTGAGCTGAGATCTGAAGAATGAAATGGGCCATGCATATAACTAGAAGAAGGATATTACAAGTTGAGGAAAGAGCAAGTGCAGAGGCCCTGAGCAGTAAACTTTGTGATTGTCAAGGAATAAATGGAAGGTCAATATAGCTAAGTTAGGGTTAAAGAGCAGGAGAAAAGGGTATTAATTGGAATCAGAGGTAGGCATATATATAGGCCATATCATTTCAGACTTTGAAAGAAATTGGCTTATTCTAAGTATAGTTGGAAGCTGTTTATTGAAAGTTTTGAGCAGGAATGTGAATCACTCTGATTTTCATTTAACAACAAAAGTAAGAAATCACACTGGCTACTTGTAGTTTTAGGCATCCCAGTGGATTTTGATGCAGGTCTGTGATCAGACTTTGAGAAGTATTAATTTAGTCCTTGTGATGAGCCCTTTAGTCTGTATCCTGAGTTGGCTGATCTCAAAATAGCTCTATCAGGACTTCTGACTAAAAATGGGAGACTGGTTACACTTTTATCTCTTCTCCATCTCCAGTCCCTGCCAAAATGGAAGAAATAAAATGAATGGGGAGAGAGTACAACAGAAGACAGAAATTCTGATACTTTTTTGAAATAACAAAGCAGATGCACAGGTAGTGACGGACTCAACAAAGGTAATGTCACAGTACCTGTAAAGGTACAATAATACTCATATGAAGTGTAATACTATGTGTTAAGTTCCCAAGAGGCACAGCATTTGAAGGCAGCAGATACTAAGGAAGGTCAAGGTTAAAAGTGGAAACTTTTCCCTGGGGGTTTAATTGGAAAATCTGGGTACATTGGCAGGTAGAATCCTCAGGTTGTCTCCTGTGTACCCTCACAAGTGGATAGTCATTTCTACCCTAACCCTGGGCTTTGGGACCAAAGTGTTTTTTTTTTTTTTTTTATAAAGATGAGATACCTGGATTCTGAAAACCAGGGGCATGGGTGACTGATAGGTTTAAAACAGGGAGATCTAGGGAAATATACATCTGAACTATGGAGTTCTTGGCTCTCTTTCTCTGCTATCCTAGAACTTCAGTTAAGCCTGTCCTGACCACCCTCTGCAGAAGATTGAGATTATCAGCATCTAAAGATACTGATAGTTTAGCATTGAGAGCCCCTTGTGAACTCTACAAGTTGTCAAACCCTGTTCTTCTACCACAGGTCTTGCAGTCAGTTCTTTTCAGAATCTTATTCTTAAAAGATGAACTAATAATCCAAGACCATTGGACTTTTGGGGGAAACTACCACTGTTAAAAAAGAATGGTCAAAACAGAGACATGGAGAAAGGAGTGGTATTTGCAGCTTTGAGAGAAAACAGACCCCATAGAGATCAAAAGAAAACACAAAAAAAAATCCTTCTAATATCAGAGAAGACACACATTTCTCTCTCCACTATAAAACAGGAGAACACAAAAGCATAAATCCATGAGGGTTGAGAGAACTTGGTGAGAGATGACAGCAGATGAACAATGTTAACTAAATATTTGAAACCAGGAAACTGATGCATGAGTGTTAACTAATTTAGCAGAGATTAGAAAGCAACAGCTTATTCCAATTTATTGTAGGGTAATTGTGCAATTAAAAAATGAGTCTTCTTTTAATTAATGATTTGGTTGCTCTGTTTATGTTACTAGCTTTTATTTTTTGAGCAGTATATTTTCAGTTGAAATTATTAATAGACTTTTCACTAGTGGAGAAGTCAGAATTATTAAAATGTAGTTCTTATTTTCTCATGGTTGTCTTAGGCATTGCAGACTGTTTTTTTGTGATTGAGTCAATATTTCACAGGAGTGAATAGATACTAATGCTTTTCTTGGTGGCTCTGACAGTGATATTGAAAAGAATGCTGGAAATTACAAACAGTTTTCAGTTTAAGAGTATGTTCTGAATTTTGTTTGTAAAGTAGTTGTTTAAAACTTGATATTTCCTCTTAAAATACTGTAATAAATAGTGGTTATATTCTGATCAAACTTGAAAAGATATGTCAGCAGCAGTTAAATCTGTATTGGTGAGTTCTCAGGGAGCTCTAATCACTTTGTATATTTTCTTGTGGAAAAATGTGTGTGTGTGTGTGTGTGTATGTGTGTGTGTGCGCGTGCACGCATGTGTACGTGTGTATATTATGGTAAAATGGCTTCATGGGTTCTGAAGAGTCAGACAGCTTGAATTCAAATATTTTCTCTGCCTTTTTTCTGTTACATAACCTCAAATAATTTGTTTCTGAGTTTCAGTAATCAGAAGGTAGTTGTGATGATTAAGTGAAATTGAAGTAGTTAAAGCACTCAACCTACCTCCTGGACCTTGTGGGGTAAATAAATGTTAGTTTTTTCATTTTTACCTTTCTGTGGTATGTGGTAAGATGAAACATTATTTTTGTAGAGCCTAAGACAAGTGTAGGTCAGTGGAAAATGTATAAAACTTTTGAAATTTAATTCCTATAATATTAAATTCTGTCTTATTTGCAACAGCTATGTCCCTTATCATTCAGTGTATTTGCCATTGCATTACTGATAGGAAGCACATAGAGAGTGAACTCAGGCCTCCAAGGCTCTAGCTAACCTCCTGTTCTGTTTCAAATTAAATGCATAATGTTGTGTGTGCTACTTCCCCACTTTGGGTCTTACTCCTGATTTGCAGAGTGAAAGCATTTTATTATAAGGTGATTTTTAAAAAAAGTTTGTTTCTCCTCTAACATTCTCTAATCCTGTAATATGTGAAGCTGAAGACATTTTTTCAGACCTGAAATATTTGTGTTAAGGCTTGTGATACATTTACTATTACAAGCTCAATTTATTATGTTTGGAGGATTTGAGATGATTGGAGATTATTAGACTGATAGCTAATGTTGACTTTATCATTAGAAATCAGTTCTAGCTATGAAACCTATTTTCGAGTAGAAATATACTAGGAATGGCCATTGCTTTTCTTCCCCCAGAGGTAAGTGATTTCTTGATGTTCACCTGAAGCTGTCACCTTTAAGAGTCATCTAAATATTACCCTTGATCTTGTTAATCCTTCTCTCCCCTCATAGTTGTGAACATTTTTATTTCTAAGATGATAGGGAGTATGGGTATGTGTGCACTTTATTTTTATGGTTAATGTTTGTAAAGCTAATCATAGTTAATTTGTCACTGCCAGAGGAGTCCTCTGACCCTCAGGCTACCATTACAACATTTGATTTTATGATATCTTTACCTTTTCATAGTCTGGATTACATATGTGTATAACTTCATAATTTCAGCCAGACTGAAAGCTCAGTGAGGACAGTGACCACATCTTTTGTTGACTTTAAAAAAAATTATTTTGTCTGGCACATAATTGGTATTCACAACATATTTTTAAAAATAAATGAACAGATTAACGTTGTTTCCCCACAAATAACGATTGAGTAGAAATACAATGGTAAGTAAAAACCTTAAACTGCTTATTAGGATTAAATTTGTAACTTTTGCTATTACCAAATTGAGTTGAAAAGGAAAAGACTAATCAAGATGGTTGTATAAATGACTTTTATTATTGTTTGTGTAAGAAAAGTGAACATTCCCTAGTACAGGAAGCAACTTTTAAAAACTGCTGGCAGAACTAAGAAGTCAGACTGTCCTTGACCCTTAGAACAAATGTTTTAGAGCCAAGTTTCCTTAAATCTTATGTTGAGAATCCATATTTTGACACAATGGAAGAATTATTTTATCAACTTTTGGTCTTCTAAAACAAAGGACCTAACAGAAATTGCTAAAAAAATAAAAAGTTTCTTTTACTAGTTCTATTTTTAAAAAGTTGCCTTTCAAGTGCATAGCACTTTAAAATGAGCTCAGCTATATTAGCAGATAAACATGTTGATTCATTCAGCCCACAGTTAGTGAATGAAGCCTGGAGGGGCACAGTTTGTTCTGTACCCCACCCAGTGGCAGAATGTTTTTCTTCCTCTTGTTCCTATTGGGGGAAGGGGACTGGAATAAGTGACTCTGCTTATTTAGGTTCACCTGAATTGTTGAAGAGGAAAGGGTATTTTTTTTTTTTTTTAGCATTTACTTAAGCCTTTTTTTTAATTTTAATTTTTGTCATTAGCAAAGATTTGCCTCTCATCCTGTGCTCATACTGTAATATCCATGTTGAAAAATAACTTGTTGACACATATTTCATAGTTTTTAACAAAAAAAATTTATTTAATGCTCTGTTTTGAGCAATCCGTTTTTTAGATTTTACAAGGTTGAGGTGTCTACAGTTGTATTGCATTTTGAGGGTGGACTTAATTTTGTAAGCAAGGAGAAGTTTGCTTTATCTAGTGGAATTAGGATGATAGAAATACTTGCCTACAATGAATTTGTTGGTAGATATTTTATGATGTATAGAATTGTTGTAAACCTATATAATCCTTGGTATAGCTTTTTAGATATGATAAAGATATGTGCCATCTACTGTTAGCATAACTCTACCATAAATTTGCAAAGAGTGATAAGAAATTTTCCCTGCTCTCAAGTATCTTACTATCTGTGTAACATTTCCAAATTGTATATCATTAATAGGAAGGCTTCCTCAAAAGTAGATTATTAAATTTGACTAAATTTAGGAAATACTTGGACTAAAGAAAATTGAAAGTTTCTTTAGTATAGGATTCTTAAAAATGTGCATTGTTTAATTCCAAAAGATGTTTATACTTTGCAAGATTTTCCAAACTTCATTGACACAGTTTTTTTGTTTTTAATTTTTTTCTGGGTAGGATTGGAGGGGAAAGGAGTTTGGGAGAAAGAGTGGCAATAGCATGTTTAGAAAGAGGATGATTAATGTGTCATGGAATACAATTTTGAAACATGGGACTAATGTAATATTCTTATCTAACTTGTAACTTTGAATGCTATCTCAAAAGTCGAGCTATTTGCTACAGAATCTCTGTGCTTTTTAATCCTTTCTAGATAAAATGAGGGCCTCAGATCATTTGATTAAATTAGTAAATTGAAAATAGATTGGTAGGGGAGAAGTGGAACCTATCATCTCTTATTCAGCCTGCCTCAAAGCAGATTAGTAGTTTCTTCCAAAGTAGTTTTGCCTTCTAGGCTTTTATTTTTTTCCTTCAATAATGTTGTCTTACCTTTTCTCTAGGCACTTTAGCTTGAAAACACAGCCATTACTGACTTTTTCCTTTCTCTTATGCAATGCTATCTTCAATTCCTATACCAATTACTAATTTTTCCTTAATAATTTCTAAGTTTTCTCCCATTCCCTGTGCTGGTCATTTAGTTTAGATTCACATGAAATAGGTGATCAGTAAGTATTTATTATATGCTTAAATCTAGACTATGTGATATTTGCTTCTAGGCTTCCCCTACTCTCTAGTCCTTTAGCACTTAATTTGTGTTGTACTGTATGATTTATGTATGATTTCTGCTCTTAAGTTTTTGGTAGTTCTCTGTTGCTTGGGAAAGTGGTCCAAAAGTAACTATCATCTGTCATCTGCCTTAGACCTCACTACTTTTTGATTTATAGCATATACTTCCTGATTTTTACTTTTCTATATTCTGTATGGTAATATATGTCATTCCTTCTACTTTTAATGCCTTTTGGAACCCCCAAATTACTATCCCATCAACTGAATTTACTTTAAATTTAATACCTCTATAATCTCTCTGGC